ATCCTATAGACCGCTTCAGATAGTCTGCCCACCACCTTGAATGGCCCGTCCCTGGGCAATGAAGTTTCTTAGGTTCCTTTGGTACAGCGGGCTGTTGAGCCAAACCAGTGTCAGAGCGCTTTGTCAAATGGTTGTGTCCGTGCAACTTGCGGTCGTTCGTAAATCCTTCTTGGTCGGTCGTGGCGTTCAGTTTTGCTGCAGTAGTAGTTCTGACTTGCTGGTAAGCAGATGTGAGCTGTCCCGCAGTCAGCTGACAAATACTACTTCGCCCGTGCTAGACGAAACAGGACCAGGGCCGTACATGATATCTAACTGGCATCCGTGACTGTCGTACCGAACATAAGGAGAAAGGTGTGTGTCCAGTTGTTGGATTGACACTGGTGGTGTAGGCTAGGCAGAGTCGACGGATGGGTGCTCCCACTGAGATGGATAGTCACCAACGTTCGAGAGCATGTCACAGGGTGCGGTGATCTTCACCAGTCACTCAGACTGTGGGTGGTAGGGTAGTGGTACGAGACGGGTTGTTCCCAGCAGCTGCAGTGTCTCGGCGATAACAGCAGACTCGAAATCCTGTCCTGCTCAAGAGTGGAGTCTCTCTGGTGGTGAAAACGACAAAGAATTCGTCCACTAGCTTCCTCGCCACAGTCGTGGCTTCCTGATTTGGAATGGGTAGCCTCGACCACCGGTGAGTAGTCGGCTGCGACTAAACTACTTGTTTCCCGACGGTGACTCTGGGAAGGGTGTCCTACCACATCCATACCACCAACTGCATAGGATAGCCAGCCACGATACTGGTTAGAGGAGCTTTCTCCTTGACTTAGGTGTGGAGCCTTCCGAGATGCGCATGACCACAGTTGCTGCACCAGTCTTTTGACATCATTGAAATGCCCTGGCCAATAGAATCGTTCTTGTCAGATCGTCGGGCGAGTGTCTTTCCACACCAAGTGACCCCCCGCAGCACCCTCATGTACTCAGCGCCAGCACCTCCTTTCGAAGTTCGAAGGGACGACAACTTGTAAGTTTGAGGTGTGGCCTGGCGACACTCGAACTGTCGACATAGGACTTTGTCTGCGACCACCAGTTGTTCCCGAGCTGGAGAAGTCTTCGGGATGAACGATTGGGTTTCCGAGCTGGGTAGAGTTCGGCTTTTCACCCATCTCTTTTTCTCTGAGAAGTGGAACCCAGATGGGGTCAGCCAGTGGACGTCCCTGATGCTGTTCACCTATCGCATTTGGAACTGATTGAGGATAGCAGTGGCCGAGACTAACAGCAATCTGTTGGTGTGACGTGACTCTCTCGTCCGCACTGCTGGCAAGGTACCGGGAGAGTGCATCGGCATTCGTGGGGCTTGCCTCGGCGATGAACGATGTCAAAGTCGAGTTCCTCTAGTCGTTCCAGCCAGCGTGCGATCTGCCCTCTGGATCTCGAAAATTCCGTACCAGGTAAGAGACCCATGGTCCGTCGAGTATGAACTTCCGTCCCATCAGATAGGGCGGTACTGCCGTGTGAACTGTCAACCGCAAGAAGCTCCCGTCTGTGGACACAGTACAGTCTCTCTGGTTTAGTGAGAGCTCGACTTCATAGGCGATCACCCGTTCGTGTCCCTCCTCATCAACCTGGGGACAGGACTGCCCCAATGCCGACTCACATGGCATCGGTGTCCAGGATGAAAGTCTCGCGAAAAGTCTGGGAATGCCGAATGGGTGCCGAGCACAGGCGATGCGGAGTTCCTCAAAATGCTATCTGCATCGTTGGTCCTACAAAGGTGATGTATGTTTCCGTGAGGCGATGAAGGGGACGAGCGTGGAAGCGAAGTCTCTGACGAATCGCCGGTAATAACCCGCAAAGCCCAAGAACTGCTGGACTTCTCGCTTGGGTTTGTGGTAGCGGCCATGAATAGACTTTCTGTGTCTTCTTGGGTCAGTGGAGACGCCTTTTCGGGAAATGATGTACCCAGTATTGCACTTCACTTTGAAAAGGAACATTTCGATGGTTTCAGACGCAGTCCAGACTCACGAGAGCGCTGGAGGACGGAGCGTAGTGCAGAGTGCTCTTGGAAGTATGACCCAATACGATCACATCATCTAGATAACGAGACACTCCCGCCACTGGAGAACGGCGAGTCACAAGATCCATCAGCCGCTGGAAAGTTCTGGTGCTTGCACAATCCATGCATCACGCGGATTGGTAGAGCCTCTGTAGTGCAAAAAGCTGTCTTCGGTCGATCCATCTCCGCTACCTCTACCTGCCAGTACCCACTTAGGAGATCGAGGGCGCTGAACCATCGGGACCCATGCAGAGCGTCCAAAGTGGCATCTATCCGTGAAGTGGATACGCATCTTTGCGTGTGACGTCATTCAGCTTCTGTAGTCAAACACAGAAGCGAGTCGATAAAAGGATAGGGGAAGAAAGAAAAGAGGGGAGAGGGATCCACCTTATGCCTATATTCTCTCCCCTTTCCCCCTTCATCTCTTTTCTCTCCTTTCTGCTCCACTCACCTACCCCTCTTTCCTCTCCACCACTTTCGCCGCCCTCTTCTTCCTCGTTCGTTCCCATTCCCCCTATTTTGTGCTACCCCACCCTATTCCCGACTCTCTCCTTGCTCTTCGCTCCTTCGCCTTTTCTACCTCTTTCTTTCTTCTCACGCCTTCTTTGTAACTCCACCCCTTTTACCTCCCTCTGTTAGATCGCCCTTTCTGTACTCCCTACTTTTCCACTGCGCCTCCCACGGACTTGCAGATCTCCCAGACGCAGGGTACGATTAGGCGTTCGATAGTTGGCTCGTTGCTCAACGAGGAGTCAGGCCAGGTGGCCTGAGACGTGAGAGGGTTGAACCCCACAGCATCCACGCAAGGTTTTTGACCCTATCCTATGGTGATTGGCTACGACCATGGACAGTCAATGGCTCTCCTCCAGCTCCGAGAAGTCGTAATGATGGACAGGGTGTGAGGGCAATGGGTTGCGGGGTCACAATCTGTTCCCACACGTCCAGCCGAAGCAAAGTGGCAGCTGATCCTGTGTCAACGAGCATGACACTGGCGATCCCATTGAGGGACCCTGTGAGGCGAAACCCACTTAGGCAGGCAGGTGAGGCATAAGCTGAGTGTTCGAAGCGTTGGACCTGACTTAAGTCATCCTCCGGCGATGGTCCTTGGCGCCGGAGGAGTCAGTTTTCCGGCTGCCTCCACGAGTTTTGACGACAGTTCCGTGCCATATGGCCAGGTTGCCCGCACCTCCAGCATTCTCCGGAGAAAACGGACGGATCCTCCTTTGTTGAGGGCGGGTTGCAGCTGTCTGTAGACGTTCCCCTGTTCGCGAGTGTTTTCACCACTTTAGTCAGCTGTTCCACGTGTCTGGCTTCGGACGTTACGGGCGAGCAGACAGCTTCCTCGGGTTGCGTAGCGGAAACCCCCGCCAGTCGGAGGGCTAACGTACGACTCCAGCTCTAGTGTTGCCGCCACGGCATCGTCTAGTGAAGCCGGCCGTTTTTGTTTTACGCTGAATGCGACCTGCGGAGGCATCAGTTGCTGTAGAAACGAGTTGATGGGCCAGTTGCTCCCGAGCCTCGTCCTGGAGGCGTGGGGGTACGCTTTGTCGGCCAATGCTTTCAAGTCGTCTGCGAAGTCTGCCCACCCCTCCTCGCTTTCTTACGGCGCGCCTGAAACTCGGCTTGGTAGCGGGTTATATGGCGACTCTCCGGGTCAAAGCGGGCTTCAGAGCGGCACGGGCTGCCGCATACGTCGACGCAGACGTCTCAGGGAGTCGCTGGAGGGCCTTCTGAGCGCGTCCCGTGAGACGAACTCGGAGCCATCTCAGTTTGTTCCGCATCATCCACTCGGTTGACGGCGGCGACGTTCTCGAAATGGAAGGCCACCCCCCGTCCCAGCTGCTCGTTCGCGTCCGTAACCCTCTGGGCGGACTAGCGGTCGTGCGTGATGATTGGCGGAGATGTGACACCCTCCGCATCGCTGCGGCGGCTCTCGGTTCTTCCCCGGCGCTTCCCTTTCTCTCCGTCGGCCATATCCTGCCGACTACGCCCTGTATCTGTCGACGAACGCCGACGGACTGGTGCTCAGCGCAACTACGGTGAGCGCGTGGTTGACTGCCAGCAATCGTTAGGACACGCGAGAGTATAATACATGTTACAACCTCACTTTTATCGGCTGATGACCATTGCGCATTGGTGATGATCTGGCACAACATACATGACCATTACAGTGGTAGTGAACATGACTACCGTAGTCCTGGTGGCATAGTGTGTGACACCGCTGTCTGGTGTTGAAGAACCATGTCAGTCTGATGCCATAGTGTGTGCGACAGCTGGGACCTGCTTACAGTACAATGAATGTTGGGTTAGTTTTGTACTTGCGCATGCGCCCACTAGTCTATCGTGCAAAAATTGCAAACAACGTTACGGACATCGCCCCTGCCCCCATAATGCACTGCGAGTGTGTGTGAGATCAAATCTTCAAATCACACAAATCTGCAGTGCATAAATCTCCACACACACTGGTGTGAACCCTGCTGCTCCTCGCTCGCCGCTCTGCTCCGCGAAAAGGGTGGGGCTGATCATGTGCTACAAAAGTAAGTGGAACAAGTGGAAAAATCATTTCTTCAAAATGAAGGGAGATGTAGGGATGGCGTAAATTATGAAAAAGGATGCCAACAAGAAGATGCTTCAGCCGACAACAAAAATCATACATCCATCCCTACATCTTTCTTTAACTCACAACCTCAACTGTGTTTTGTTATCCTTTTACTCCCAATAACGAGTGCCTAGCTACACATTCTTAGACAGAGCAAAAGAAAGAAAGATGTAGGGATGGATGTATGATTTTTGTTGTCGGCTGAAGCATCTTCTTGTTGGCATCCTTTTTCATAATTTACGCCATCCCTACATCTCCCTTCATTTTGAAGAAATGATTTTTCCACTTGTATATATATATACACAGAAAATTCCGCTCGAACGAACGACTAGGTTGGCTCGCTCCCGCTCGCCAATAATTACACTCGTTCTGGTGTAATATGGGTGAAAATCACATTGTTTGAGTGTGAGCAACAGGAGTTATCATGCTAGCCTAATAATGCTTCTATTGTCTCTCTAATTATAGTTTCACAGAACTTCATGGGAGTGATTGTCAGCTTTGTTAGTGGGTTTACGAGGGGGGATGACAGGTGGGGGAACCGTTTGGAATACTCTCTCGGATATGGCATTCGAGACCATTATAGGGAGCTGACCTGTACGGGAGATTAATAATTGGAGATGACTGAGTTGATAACAACAGGTGTGTGAAAAATTAAGTGTGGTTACAGTATAGGGAAGTTAATTGCGTATCACCTGAGATGTAGACCTGTCTGAGGGAGTGAGCCAGGTCATGATGACCAATGCTGTCCACCACATCAGCTATATCCCTCCACGTGGGCTTGTTGGGGTGGAGGTTGGCCAGCCATCCATCCACCACCTCTATCATTGCGTCACTCTCACTCTCACTACCCACCTAGACGGAGAGAATTGCAGAATGCACCATTAACCTTGTGTAAATTGAATGGTTGACATACGTATTGAAGAATTTCGTCCAGCCTGTGTACACCAACTGCCTCTCCCAGTTTCCTCCAGTGAGGAGTGACTTCCCTCAACTGAATGAGGATCTGGTCCAGACACACAAAGGTGTCAGGTGGTGGTGGAGTCACTACAGCATCGTGGTCCAGAGAGGCATACTGGACGATATCCATTTCAGACTGCTTCAGACGGGCATCAATCTTGGATATTATGCCCAGCTGAGCATATTTCACATTCTAAGATTGATGTGTAACAACACACTCTCATTCACAGCATTTTGTAAAGCAACATCGATTTTGATTGGGTTGACTTGAACACACATGTGGGACAGTGTGTATTAAACAAACATTATTCTAACCTCGACACTGACAACAACAGGCTGTGGAGGGGCAGGAGCTGGCTGTGTTGGCTCACGGAATGTGCCAAATATTCCTCCACCATCCTGTAATGGAGCAAGTGTAGAGCTAGCTACCACGTAATAATATTTCTCACGATTTACTTCTTGAACAAGTCTCCTGTGGGTTGCTGGGGGGTTGTCTGCAGTGTCTGGCTCATATCTTGTCTGGACCACAGAAATCCCTCCACTGAGCTGCCCTGCTGTCATCCGCACCTCTCCATATGCTGGATTTTGCACTGTTTTCTTATTTTCCTGCTCCCGGACCACTCCACCTGGCTGTACCACTGTGGATTGGTCTTCTTTTGTCTGTTCCGGTTCGGTACTGGCCACAGTGGACACGTTAATGGTCTCTGCCGTCGCTAGTACTGATCTTGGTATTGAGTACAGTTCATTCAGCGCTGCCTCATGGCCAGTGAATGTAGTGCTTGTTGGGTCAGGGTTACCCTCCTCATTATCATTGCAGGAAGAGTAGTGGGCAAAGGTAATTACATGCTCTCCTAGTGCTCTGTGTGATTAAGCTTTATTAGCAAACCATGAACAATAAAAGCATTCAAACCTGTTTTGTTTATTCTTATTTGATTCTGAGGCAGAAAATGTAACCTCAATGGCAACAGTGTGGTGTGTATATTGGTGGACTCACTTGTTTGTCTCCTTCTCAACACACACACCACTGCTATTACAGGCACCGCTATCAAAATGCCAGCAATGCAAATGACAGCAACAGCAACTGGTACAATGACCTCCTCTGGTACTGACGACCTTGCACCATCGTCTTTCACCCTTGGCATTTGTCCTATAGCGGAGCAGAGAAAGAAATCCAGGCACTTTTATACAACTAAAACTTGTCCATAAGGGACAGAACAGAGTGAATGCATATTAACTCCGCCATCTGATGGTAATAGTCCCAATGCCTCCAGCACCTGTTTCACAGTCCAGAGTAGAGAGAGGGTGAGGGTCCCATACCCCAGTACTGGTACACTGAGTAGTGTACACATCAGTAGGACCATCTCTACACTGATAGGTAGCAGTACTGCCCACTGCAGTGGAGCTCATGTTGACTATCATGGTATCCGTAGAATTAAATGTTGGACAGTCAACTATAAAAGTGCAAATAAAATAGGACAACACTATTAGAATTAAAACCTACTTGGCAGAGTTATCTTAATATCGACAGTGGAGATCATAGTAGCGGGAGAGCGAGGGAGAGTAGCTACACAGGTGTATATCCCAGTCATATTCCTGGTGGTATTCACTAACTCAAGTTCTCCACTCTCACTGACCATCTTCCCATCAGGAGAGATCCATTGTAAAGTTGGTTGAGGGTCTGAGTTTGACCCATCACACAATAGATGTAGTGGACTTCCTTCAGTAACTTCTGTTTCCCCCATAATAGATGGAGGGCTGAAAACTGGTGGAGATATTTTAGTGATAGTGATACCAACTAAAATCTACCGTAGTTACATACCTTTAAAGAGCAAAACTCCTACTTTTGCCACGAAATAAGTCCCATCGCATAAACGTTTCTCACAGCATTGTATGTTTGTATCCCAGAATGTACTGAACACACTGCCACTGTCATTCACTACCAGTGTATCTGAATAATCATGTGTATATTTCTTCACCACTCTTCCCAGAGTGCTGTTTGGAGTAACAATTGTGCCATTCACCCCGAACACCACCTCATGAATGAAAGTGAAAATTGGTGTGTAGTCACATTCAAAGCATACTGTATCCAGGGAGGCATTCACATAGATGATGCTGTTATTGACACTGGTAAGGTTCACAGTTGTCCCACAATCCACAGGTGCTGGCTCAGACGAGTAGACTGTACATAGAAAGATTCAAACAAAGTGTATTGTGAGCATAAATACTGTGTAGACCTACCACAGCTCCACCAGAGGCAACAAATTAACAAACAAACGGAGAGCATTTCGCAAAAACAGCGGTTCATTCAATTCTGCCACTGACGGCTCATGCTCAATAGGAAATGGTGAGCGCATGCGCAATTGCGCAACACGGGTGTGCGCGTGCGCGCGTGCGCGCGTGCGCGCGCGTATCGATCCGCGCGGAGGCGCGCTGCGTGGTACCCCCGGCCCCCCGCATCGAAACATACAATCTCACTCCAGTACAAGTGTAGATATCTATTGACCAATGTGACTGTTACGTGTGATGGGATTTGTAATGAAAGTCTTGGGCACTTGGACTTTGAATAGTGTGTTTTTTGATACATAAAACAAGAATTGTCACACAGAGTCTGCTGATACATCACACTATCAGGAACAGCATTGGAGACCTCAATGGGTAGCTCCCCTGCAATAAAACAAATTGTCAAAAGAGAAGAGGTCATGTGTATACAATTAGTTCCAATATACATTGTCTGTGGCACTACTCACAACACACTTTACCAAAGGCATGCACAATTTGTCCAAGTGGGGCAAATCACCTGAGATGTAGACCTGTCTGAGGGAGTGAGCCAGGTCATGGTGACCAATGCTGTCCACCACATCAGCTTTCTCCCTCCACGTGGGCTTGTTGGGATGGAGGTTGGCCAGCCATCCATCCACCACGCGTGCGCGCGTCTCGATCCGCGCGAGGGCAGAGGCGGCGCGCTGCCTGGTACCCCCCCGCCCGCATCGGAACAGACAATCTCAGTCCAGTATATATATACAATTGTAGATATCTATTCACCAATGTGACTGTTATGTGTGATGGGATTTGTGTGTAATGCATGATATGAAAGTCTTGGGCACTTGGACTTTGAATAGTGTGTTTTGATACATAAAACAAGAATTGTCACACCAGAGTCTTCTGGAGAGCTAAGCTGAGTGTTTGTAGGATTTCAGTGGTATGGGTGGAGGAGTTTCGGAAGACTTGCTCCTGTCATTATTAGGTTCACGAGAGGGTATGAGGGGTGGGGCCTCGTTTTGATACATCACACTATCAGGAACAGCATTGGAGACCTCAATGGGTAGCTCCCCTGCAATAAAACAAATTGTCAAAAGAGAAGAGGTCATGTGTATACAATTAGTTCCAATATACATTGTCTGTGGCATCTACTCACAACACACTTTACCAAAGGCATGCACACTTTGTCCAAGTGGGGCAAATCACCTGAGATGTAGACCTGTCTGAGGGAGCCAGCAAGGTCATGGTGACCAATGCTGTCCACCACATCAGCTATCTCCCTCCACGTGGGCTTGTTGGGATGGAGGTTGGCCAGCCATCCATCCACCACTTCCACCATTGCCTCACTCTCACTACCCACCTGGACAGAGAGAGATCACAATACGACAATACATTATTCCTCTGGTTGACATACATATTCAGATATTTCGTCCAGCCTGTGTACACCAACTGCTCTCCCAGTCTCCTCCAGTGAGGAGTGGACTTCCTTCAACTGAATGAGGATCTGGTCCAGACTCACCTTTGAATCTGCAGAAAGTGATACACACTATACATAACCGTCTTTTACAGTGTAATACTTTTACTAGTACTAGGTTTTAGCATGCTGCATTCACTAATTCAACTGTGCTTGAGAACTTTCTTCACAAAAAAACTTTTAAGGGATAGCAAATGACTTTTTGCAGGTATATACAAGCAAGTATGGCTTTAAGAAGGTAGAAAGAATACTCAGAGTAGTATAAAAGGTATACCTTACAGACCCCTTTGAGTGCACATTAAAAGTGATAGCACACTTCTGAAGAGTACTACAATAGGGCCCTGAAAATCTGCTGAGCATAGGTCTGACCAGCATACTAAAAAACAATGAGTTAGCTTTTGACCTAGATCGTGTGTCTGAGGAGGTGGTAGTTGTTGGCTAGCCATGGCATTGAGGTCCAGAGCGGCATACTCGACTCTATCTGCAACCAGACCAAAACCACCTCCTTCTGTGTTTAGACTCACTTCTGCATACAGCAGACCCTAGGAAACAACATGGGCTGGAGTCACATGAGCATGATAGTGCATTTGCATGTACATACATACCTTGAAACCTGTACCACAAACTTGATGGTCCACTTATGAACATGCAAGCACTTTTACGGAGATTGAAATGAAAACACTGGGTTGGAGTCATCTGCTACACATGCCTTTCAGCAAATGTACTGTGTAAACACCCATTTTGGGAGGAATGTATAGTAAGCTTTTTCACAAAAGTTTAGAGTAAACACTACAGTTTAGTTTGGGAAAAGGGGTGGCAGTAGAGAGAGTGTAGAGGGGTGGGCATAGTGGCTTGCATGGTGGGTACAAGAATATCCACCTACATCGTTGTAAAAAGATGTATGCAATACATTGATTTAACTTTTCAACAGTTGGGGAAAACATGCATTGGCTGACACAGTCACCTTTTGTTGATTCCCTTGTGGTGGTTTCTGAGCTACTGTTCTGCTGGGTTCAGGTGTCAGGTTTTCTTCCACTGTCTGGACTACACAGTATGCACCAATGAATCCTGTTGTGTGCTCTGAATATTGCTGCTGTCCATTTGGCTTTCTGGTTTCTTGTGGTACTTCTGGTGGCTGAGGCACAAGTGATTGTTTTAGTTCATCCTGCGAGTCAGAATATGACCAGAATACCTCACTAGTTGGTTCTGGTATGGTCGTGATCATTGAGTACTGTCCCAGGGGAATGGGAGGTGTGGTGGTAGGCTGGGGCTCTGAGGGTTTCCCGTTGGGCTCTTCCGGTGTTGTTAGCTGTGACTCTATCACGAAAGACCGCCCATTTAGTGTTGTTGTTGCTGTTGTTCCTTCTGATGTTTTCTTGACCACAGGCAAGTACTGGGAATTTTTCACTGTCATTTGCTGCTGTTGATCACTATGGTTGCTATTAAGACAGATACACCTTATAATTCAAGTATATAGTGTGTTAGCTTCAACCCTTTTCTAGTGTAGCTCTAAGCCTATTCTAAGCAATAGTCCTGGAAGTGAGAGTGCCAATTAATGTTCTTTCACATGAACAGCATTGCAATTGTACGTGCTCAGCTTTCAAAGGCATGAATAGAAAATACTATCATGGATGTCTACTATACATGACTAAAACTCGACTGTACTCTGTCTGTATGTACATTACCTATTTTCTCTCAGAAGGTACTGTTTTCCCTTTCCTATATATGGCGTCATGAAAGTTTGGGAGTCAAACATTGTAAAAACAGAACAGGTATTGGAAGGGGACTTACTCTTGCTTCTCTTGCAGACACACACAGCAGTTATCACAGCACAGGTGGTGATGCAGCAGAGCAGGAGAAGTCCCACTGCCCCTGCTCCCCATGGTAGCCACTTCCTATACCTCTCAAATAGAGAATCTGAAAAGAATCATGCAGTATACAGATGTTTGACTAAACATAGATTGATGCTATTTTAGAACACCTGTTTCTTTCGAGATGCAGCATCTATTTTTAACCTGTGCTAAGTGAATATACCTGTCTCTTTACTACAGTCCAGGGTAGAGAGAGGGTGAGGGTCCCATACTCCAGTACTG